GTAGTTGGGTAGGGTGGTGGAACGTGAATAAATCGTCCTGAGGGTGTATATGGCATCCGGCATTTGCTGATAGGGTCGATGTAAGTTTTCAGATCTCCAGTTTTTGGATCAAACCAATGGGAAATATCAGTCCCAGCGACGGCCAGAATAGGCTTAAGCAGTATGTCACCTGAATTACACAAGATCAAATTAGTGAAGTGAAAAAGATCATTTGCATTTATTAGCAACACCCCGATGGCAAATATGATTAATCAGTAGAAAAGAAATATAGTCTCTAAAATTATTGAGCCACCACCAGTAAAAAGCATCAGTTGATTGAAAAATGGTATATAGAAAGAGTGTATGAAAAAATAAGCTAAAATATTCGAGTGTTCCGAACTGTCCGTGACAAATTTATGAAAAATTAAGAGTACTTTTGCATTTTAGACTTGATTTTATTCATTTTCAGTTTTCAAACTAATTATTTTGAAGTGCCCGCCAAGGTGTTTTTGAAAAACCGAGAAGGGGGTCCTACAACATCGACTTTTACCTGAATAGAAATCAAGATCATTTACGTACCGTAAGATTGTGTTTGCCGATAAGGTTACAAAACACTCGTTCCGAATATCCGGCTGATAGTTAAATGAATCGGGAATAATCGAAAAACTTGAATGTCGCTGCATTGATTTTCCTGCGGATTCCGACACAACATCTGATAAGTGCCATTAGCTTTTTAAACTTTCGAGCTAAATCTGTGTGTATAAAGAAGCAGTCTGTCGCATTTCACAAGCTAACGCCTGCTAGGAAACAGATAAATCAACCGAAGCATCGATTTTGCATATTTCTGCGCATGAATCAAGAGAAAGTGAGATAGACGCACATAACAACATGCATTACAAGCAATCTCAAACAAGATATCAAGGTCATACAATTAATTTTCAAAGTAAATGAGGTTGACATTCGCGATCCGTCTAAATTACAGAACGAAATACCCCATCCGAATTTCGCTTTGGTGTTTGCTGACTGTTACCCAGTCACCGACATACAGATTTCCCCACCAAGTACTGCGATGTGCGGTTGTAGCGCTGTGGCTTGCCAACTACAAAGTTCTAACGTATTTTTTGCATTTAGGAGGGGTAAATAAGCTGGAAATTCAAAAATCCAAGAATTAACTGGAAAGGTATTCAACTTAAACTATCATGACTGGGCAGGTGCTTTACTAACCCTACGGCGCCCTGCAGATGATGTGACGTCATCCCCTCTAGAGGTAGAAATGATGTAAAAGTGCTCACAAATATCTTAAAAATTGCGTGAATTGTTAACTGCAGAATGA